ATTAATGGCGGGGGGGATCGAATCGATTCACTCGTCGTGAGACGAGTCGAAGGGGAAACGTGTCACGCGTGACAACCGTTTCGCCGCGAGGCGAAATTTTGAGGCTTCGCGTTGAAAGGTATATCGCGCCTCGTATATTGCCACGAAAATAAAGGAAATGAGAGAGAGAGAGAGAGAGAGAGAAGTAATGATAAAAGGATTATCGATCGCAAAAAAGGAAGGATCACGCTTGATCTTGAAGGTGGCGTCATACAGCGAGGATGAAAAGTAATCTATTGAGTGAGAGGAGAGAAGAGAAAAGTTGGGAATGGAGATATATTGCGATGAATGGAATAGTCCCTTTGACCCACGAAATTACTAGGTTCGCCGGAGTTGATCGGTGTTGACGATCGTCTAAAGCTCGTGATAGCGAATCCCTGGAACGTGACATCGGAGCAGGGGACCCGCGGAAATCAGACCAGACATTGTTTCCACCTCGACAAGATAAAGTGACACTGAACGTGACACTGCGCCGCGTGCGCTATCTCCATCTATGGAACGTAGGATTGCTCGTAGGTGGTGGTGTTCGATCGCAGCTTTGCCTCAACGTGTGGTTGTACTACGCCCGGCCTTCACAATGAATCCGCCGTTTTTACAGCAATTCATCGTTCCTTTTAAATACGATCGACGATGTGCTAATTTGAGTTGTTCGATTCATTAATTTTTTTTTTTTTTTTTTTTACAGTACAATTTTAAGACATATATCAATTGTATATCAATGTCAATTGCGAGTTATACTCGAAATTGACAGTGAATCTGTCGTTTTAATTTTATAACAATTGATCGATCCTTTTAAATTCGATCGATGGTAGGCTAATTTGAATTCTTCGATCGATTAAATTTTGTTTACAGGAGAACGTAAGATAATCGAACGCAAGTTTGCTTCAAGGGATATCGACTATGTTATTTTTGGAATTGACAATGAATTTATCAATTTTTACAGCAATTGATCGATCCTTTTAAATTCGATCGATGGTAGACTAATTTGAATTCTTCGATCGATTAAATTTTGTTTACGGTAGAACGTAAGATAATCGAACGCAAGTTTGCTTCAAGGGATATCGACTATGTTATTTTTGGAATTGACAATGAATTTATCAATTTTTACAGCAATTGATCGATCCTTTTAAATACGATCGACGATGTACTAATTTGAATTGCTCGATTCATTAAATGTTTTTTTTTTTTACAGTACAATTTTAAGGCATATATCGATTGCGAGTTATACTCGAGATTGACAATGAATCTGTAATTTTAATTGATCGATCCTTTTAAATTCGATCGATGGTAGGCTAATTTGAATTCTTCGATTGATTGAAATTTTGTTTACAGTAGAACTTTAAGATATCGATTGTGTTATCCTCGAGCTTGACAATGAATTTGTCGTTTTACAGCAATTGATGTTTAACGATCGATCCTTTTAAATCTGATCGATGGTAGGCTAATTTGAAATGTTTGATTGATTAAATTTTATTTACAGTAGAATATAGGATCATTTTGCAATAGACTCAAGTTTGCTTTAAAATGGCATATCTATTTTGTTATTTTCGGGGTTGACAATGAATCTGTTGTTTTACAGTAATCGATAGATTCTTTTAAATCCAATCGATGATAGGCTAATTAATTAAATTTTAGAACGTAAATTTGTTTTAAGATTGCATTCATCTTATTGCGTTATTCTCGAGATTGACAATGAATCTATCGTTTTAATTTTATAGCAATTGATCGATCCTTTTAAATTCGATCGATGATAGGCTAATTTGAATTCTTCGATTGATTAAATTTTTACAGAACTTTGAAATGGCATATCGATTGTATTACCTTCGAAATTGATAATAAATTTATCATTTTACAGCAACTGACGATCGTTTCTTTTAAATCTAATCGATGATAGGCTAATTTGAAATGTTTGATTAATTAAATTTTATTTACAATAGAACATAGCACGATTTTGCAATAGTTTCAAGTTTGCTTTAAGGTGACATTCATCGATTGCGCTATCTTCAGGGTTGACAATGAATCTATCGTTTTAATTTTATAGCAATTAATCGATGGTAGGCTAATTTAAATTCTTCCATTGATTAAATTTTGTTTACAATGTTGTTTAGAATGTAAGATAATCGAACGCAAG